TAGGGTTGCAAATAGATTCTTACTTTGTCTCCTCATGCCTGGAAAGTGGAGAAAAGACATCCTGAATTTTGGGGGTTTTCATTGTTCCCCTGAGATTATCACCGTTTGGAAAAAAAACATACAGTATTCAACCCATTTGGAGGGATACGCTGTAGCATCCCATCTAGAAATGGTGCTTTGGGACCTAAGCTGTTGTCTTTTTCCTTTTCAGTATCCTCTGGGAAGAGGAAAATGAATTTTGGCATCAGCGAGCCTTAGATAATGTGGTTCTGGGAGAGAGAGACCCTCTGCTCCAAAAGCTGTCATTTTTTACAACAATCCAGGTGAGTTAAACTTTGAAACTCACTGATGAGCAACTTTTGTGAAGATTTCAACCCCTCAGGGAATGAATTGAAAATCCACTTGTTGTTGTTTAGTCCTTAAGTCGTGTCCAACTCTTCGTGACCCCATGGAGAAACAAACAAACCACTTAGCTATGGTCAATAGGCTTTGAAGGGAAAGAGATCTTGAACTTGGAGTTTTGATACCTCTTTCTTGGGATGATCACCGTTTGCAAATGGCAGAGTTCAGTAACATACCGTCCAAGGAAGAGGGGATTATGTCTGTGCAAGGATCCCTTTGGCTTCTTTGGGGGGAAAAAAAACCCTTAAGGAGTGAATCTCTGCTCTTTCTATTTGCCACTGCATGGTAGGGGATTCTAGGGTGGAAGGGACTGGCCAGATCCTTTGCCGTGGGCACAACTTTCACGCCTCATTTGGCTGATCCTATTTTAAAATTTCATTGGCTGCAGATATCAAAGCTTCAGGAGCTGGTCTCTTGAAGCCCAGGAATGAGCAAGCTTTACATTGAGAATATATCTGGCGGCATATTTCGCTTCTAGTTCCATTCTCTCGGTGGGATTGACTTTGGATTAAAGGGAAGAGGGTATGGCTTGAATGTTTGCAGGTAGGATGAAGAACTGACACCAGGAGGGCCCTCCAGAGGTTCAGAGAACCAGGCTTGGTGTCTTCCAGAGCAGTGGTTCTTAACCTTTGTTACTCGGATGTTTTTGAACTGCAACTCCCAGAAACCCCAGCCAGCACAGTTGGTGGTGAAGGCTTCTGGGAGTTGCAGTCCAAAACTCCTGAGTAACCCAAGGTTAAGAACCAGTGTTCCAGAGGAAGGGAAGAGACATTGGGGTGGGGGGCCTGGGAACAAGCCCCACCAGCGCCACCCTATTGCAGGAAGGGGAACGCCTTTGGGAGAAAGGAGGAGGAGGAGAGGTGCGATGGGGGAACATAAGGAAAAGAGAATGGGGGGAAGAAGGAAGCCCCCCCACTTGGACAAATGGCTGGGAAGGGCTTCACAGATATAATAAGCAAAATCCAAAATGGAGGATTGTGCAAGGAAGCTTCCTAAGATGGAGCAAACGTCCCTCCCCTCGGTGGGGGCCTGGGTCCTTTCGTTGCTTAAGGGCGGAATTTGTTCCGATGTGGCTCCAGTTTCTCCCTCAAGCTGGGAAGGCACTCGTTTTACAAATCGGGGCATTGGAAAGGGCGAGGAGGGGGCAGAAGAAGAGTGGAAACCCTATCTTGGATTAACGAGTGCACTCTGCCCTGTAAGAAATGGGGGACGCCGCCGGTATCGTAGGGCACAGCTGTGCTGTGGCTCAGGATGGTTGTGTCGGTGGGACTCATCACTGGACTGTTATGCACAACCCCACCGCTGCTCCTGCCCATTGGTTTCAAAGTCCCCATTTCCTCGCACCCAATTTCAGTGCTCTCTCTCTCTCTCTCTCTCTCTCTCTCTTGCCTCCATGGGATGCTGCAGGAGGACACTTGTGGGGTGATAATTTTGTCCCGTGGGGACGCCTGCCTGGAAAGAGGCTGAAGCCCAGCTCTTCCACTCTTTCCACTCTTCTTCTGCCCCCACCTCACCCTTTCCAATGTCCCGGATTTGCAAAATGTAGCTCAGAGGGGTGGGGGGCAGGAAGGCAGAGGGAAGGAGGGAGAGATGCTGGAAGACATTACGTGCGGTGATGGGGATGAAGATACCATTTTAATGGCCTGGATCCAGCCATTTCTGCAGTGCTGTGTCAGGAAACTGTGGGGCAGGAGGGTGTCTGCTGTGGCAGAGGAAGCAGGGCACCTGCCCAAGGTTTGTTGGTGCTGATTTCAGGTAGAAGGTGGGCATCAGGAGAATGTCTGGGCCTCCCTCAGTTTCCAAACAGAGGCAGGAGACTCGGCTCCTGTTTCTACACCCCTCAAACATGAGTGGCCCTGAAGAGGGAGCTGTTCTTCTGTGACATTGTTTTTTTTTTTTTTTAGTTTAGGGTGACCCTAATAGGCGTTTTCAGGGATGTGGGATGTTCAAGTTCTCTCTGGCCACCCACCCATGAATTCCCCCCGCCAAGTAGGGATTTGAACTCAAGTCTCCTGAGTCTTAGTCTGCCCCCTGCTGTCCATGTCACACACTGGTTGTTGTTGAAAGGGGTTCTAGGTGGGAAAAATAATGCAGGCTTGAATACTTTCTGGTTCCCACCTCCAGTTAGCTTAAAGACAGATCTTTTGCTTCAGAGCTATTTTGGGGTCCATCCCTCCCTCCCTTCCTGATGTTCCTTTCCATTCTCCTTCTTTCAACTCTCTGAAGAGGACACCCAGTATAAAAAAAAGACAGAGAAGTCTTTTTGTTTCCTCTTTCCAGAAGTTTCCAGACTAATCCGTTTGCTTTTTTTTTTCCAAAGGGAGGGAGTAAGACGAGTCAAATCTCTCCGCAGCTTTTCTCTGGACCAAGGATCAGATTCCAGATTCGACCTTTGCAAGGTAGGCAAGAGGGTCCAGGGGTTGTTTGCAGGCAGCATTTGAACTTGCCTCTAAGAAGCAGACCTGGCACAGAGATCTGCCATGAATTTACGGGACTTTTTTTTTACAATTTTTTGACACTGTCCGTACAACATTGGTGCATAGCCTGGGTAAGTGGATCTTACTTTATTGCAAGCTCACTGTTTATTCAATTTTTAAGTACTTCCTTAAAAATCTTCCCTGCTCTTGCATTTCCATATCCCGAGGTTCACTTTGTCTTCTGCCAACTTCAGTCTGCAACCTATTATGTGGCTTCCAAGTAACCCAGGAGCGTGACCAGGAGGTAAACAGTCTTGCTTTTGTATCCATTTTAAGAGGTGTACAGTTCTTTCTTTCCATGTTATACTCCTGATACTCCATACTGTTCTATCAATTCACAGATGTTCTGAAAAAATATTTATTTTGGGAAGGGCAGGAAGGCAGACGAAGAGTCGGCACAACTTTGATGTAAATGTTTGTAGTCTTTTACCATTAGCTGATAACTCTTTCCATCTATCCCTGGGTGCAATGCCTGCTAGGTAATTATCAGTTATAGACAGGAATTTGGTGTCACACCTCCAAGCAGTGATTCCGCCACTTTCCTGGAGTGCTGCGTCTTCCTGTTTGGCATGGGCTGAACTATTCCACATTGAGCTGGAGTGTTCGTCCGCAGAGCAGGATAGAGCCAAGACTGTAGTCCTCAGTGTTTCGGATTGTGTACTGCTATCACATCTAGTAAGAGAGGCTTCGCCATGTGAAGGCTATCCAGCAGAGCAGAAAGCATGAGATCGTCAGCATAAAACTGCCAGTGCCTTGAGGAATTGGTTACATCTTTGAAGTAGCACTTGATGAGGAGCAGACGTGGGAAGAGGATATAGCACTAAAATGTGACCTATTACGGTACATTTATGTTGAATTTTTTTTTATTTCACCGAAAGGTGAAACAGCATTTAGGGATTGGAAGTGGAGGTTATTTGGACTTTTCTCATCTTTATATGCTGCTCCTTTTGAGTTTTCCCATCTGCCCCTCCCGCAACTAAAAAACACATTCTCCAAAGTGTGGGATCTCCCCTGGGGTGATTCCAGGAGAGGCCATTTCCCCTTTAAACCCCCCCTTTACAGTCATGCCCCGCTTAACGGTAACCCCATATTACGATGAATCCACTTCACGACGATGTTTTTGTGATCGCAATTGCGATCGCAAAACAATGTTTTAAATGGGTTTTTTTCACTTTGTGAATATTGGTTCCCTGCTTTGGGAACCGATTCTTCGCATTACGCCGATCAAAACAGCTGATCGTCGGCTTTTCAAAATGGCCACCGGGTGCTCAAAATGGCTCCTCGCTGTGCTTAGGGACGGATTCCTCGCTATACAGGCACCAAAAATGGCTGCTGTATGGAGGATCTTCGCTGGACGGTGAGTTTTTAGCCCATTGGAACGCATTAACCGGGTTTTAATGCGTGTCAATGGTTTTTTTATTTTTGCTTTACAACGTTTTCGCTCTACAGTGATTTTGCTGGAACAAATTAACGTTGTTAAGCGAGGCACCACTGTATTCCCTATTCATGCGGGCATTTCAAAATTAGGAGGGAAAGTAAAGGGAAAAAAGGACTCTTTTACTATGAACGCTTGGACCATCGAGCTATTACTTCTCTGTGTCTGGTTAGTGAACTGACTCTGATTTTTCTCAGTGGGGAAAAGTTCCAACCCCAGTGCTATTCAGAAATAAAACCAGGTTATTCCACCTCAGGCTTCCTCTTCAATTCCATGAGGGAAAGAAGGTCGGTGTTGAGGTGCCTGATTTGTGAGGAAAAACCGCTTTGTTTTCCCAGGTTCCTTTGTGGAGGTGGAGGAGGAGTGAGTTGTGCAGAGACACCACATCCAGAAGGTCATGGAAGAGATGGCTAGGAACAGGAATCCTACAGGTAAGGCTCCCGTGGCATATCCTTCGTCCTCCCATAGGTTGCCTCTTTCGTCTGTATTTTGGAGGGGTTTGAGGGAAGTACAGAGTCTGCACACACACACCCCACTTCTGACGTATAGCAACGCTTTGAAGGTGTCGAGCAAATTGTGTTCTCGTCTTAGGGCGCTGGATGCATCTGTGGGCAATCCCTCTGAGGAAGGTGGTTGATGTTGTTGTTAAGAGTCTTAGAACTGCAGAGCTCGGAGGAACCTACTCTGCAGTTCCACTCCCTGTCAAGGAGGCCCCAGTGGAGAATCGAACTCCCAACCTATGGCTCCATAGCCACATGCTAAAATCAATGAGCTATGCAGCACTTCCTTGCTGTCGTTGTCTCAGTTGCCTTGCCTTGCGCTGGGTTGTCTTTGGACCATTTGGCAGTCACCAGCTCTTCTCACTCCATCTAAAGGAAAAGGTAACCCTGCCTACCCAGGCCAGCGTGTGTTCTCTGCCTCTCTGTGCCGAATGGTAGGACAGGTCTCTTTTTCAATTTGTACATTTATGTATGCCCCGCAACCCCATTCTTCCCCTAGAAAGTAGAACCACACTCACAGGACCGATAGGAGCAGTTCATTCTTGATGGCTGTCTCTCCTTCTCAATGAGACTCTAATGGCAGGTGTTCCTTTTTCGTTCCAGGTGGTGATGAGCAGGAGAACTATAATTCTGAGGAACAACCCCAGACATTGTCAGGACCAACAAAGGAGGAAAAGACTGTGGGGGAACAAAAGAAGCAGCAGAAATATCCAGCCAAGAATCAGGGGAAGAGAGTAATTCCCAGCCAGGCCGATGCCTGCTTACCACTCCAGTAAGAAAATTAAAAGAGAAAGACTGAGTATGCCAGTGGAGGCAAACCTTTTTCAGCTCGATTGCCCAAAATGAGGGGGTGGGGAAGAAACCAGTGGCTGCCGTGCTGCCCGGAAGACCAAAACCGGAACAGGAAGTGGCAGTTTCAGGGGGAATCATGGGGACGGATAGGAAGCTAAAGGGGGAATCATGGGGACGGACAGGAAGTTAACGGACCCAGAACAGGAAGAGACAGGAGGAATCCCAGCTGCAGCCACTTCAAAAGGTTTGTCGCGTATCAGAAGAAGGGCTTCGCATGCCAGCTGTGGCACGCGTGCCATAGGTTCACCATCGCTATCATTCCATTCTATAACGTTTATTTCCATTACAGAATACGTGCACGGGAGAAATCCTATCTGTGCAAAGAGTGTGGCAAGAGTTTTGGGTGTAAGAGGAGCCTGGTTCAACATCAGAGAATCCACACTGGGGAGAAACCATACAAATGCCTGGAGTGTGGGAAGAACTTTGTTCGACGGGCGCACCTCAATGTGCATCAGCAAATCCACACCGGGGAGAAACCATATCCATGCATGGAATGTGGAAAGAGCTTCAGGAATGGCTCGTACCTTACTTTACATCAGAGAATCCACATACAGGAGAAGCTATATAAATGCCTGCAATGTGGAAAGAGCTTCTCTCATAACAAAAGTCTTGCTTTCCACGAAAGAGCTCACAGAGGAGAGAAACCACACATATGCCTGGAATGTGGAAAGAGCTTTAGTTACACCTCCAGCCTTATTTCACATCAGAGGATTCACACTGGAGAGAAACCATACAAATGCCTGGAGTGTGGGAACACCTTCAGTCACAGCAGTACCCTAAATGAGCATCAAAAAACACACACAAGGAAAAAACCTTATTCCTGTCTGGAATGTCAGAAAAGCTTCTCTAGCATTACATGTCTCACTAGACACAGGAGAGTTCACACAGGAGAGAAGCCATATACCTGTGCATTGTGCGGAAAGAACTTCAGTCATAGCACAGGCCTAGCTTCCCACAGGAGGACTCACACTGGGGAGAAACCATATAAGTGCTTGGAGTGTGGCAAAACCTTTACGCAGGGCTCACACCTTCTGTTACATCAACGAGTCCACCGAGGGGAGAAGCCGTATGAATGTTTTGAGTGTGGAAAGAGATTTAGTCAGGGCTCACATCTGACGCAGCATCAGCGAATCCACACAGGCGAGAAGCCTCACAAATGCCTGATATGTGGGAAAAGCTTCAGTATTCGCACATACCTGACTTCCCATCAAAGAATCCATACAGGGGAGAGGCCCTATAAATGCTCGGAGTGTGGAAAGAGCTTCACTCAGAGCGGAAGCCTCATTATACATAGAAGAATTCACAGTGGAGAGAAGCCATTTTCTTGCTCCGAGTGTGGAAAGAGCTTCATCTGCGGAACAAGCCTCACTTACCATCAGAGAGTCCACACACGGAACAGGCCGTACGAATGCTTGGAGTGTGGGAAGAGCTTCGTTAGTAGGAGAAATCTCCTTGTTCATCGGCGAGTTCATGTAGTCAAGAAGCCATAGAAATGGAGTGTGGAAAGAGCTTGTGTCACAATGCAAGTTTCACTAGAAAAAAGATGTAGATGTCGTCACAGTCAAAATCAAAATATCCCCGCTAGGAAATTCCCTCAATAAGCTTGGTGTGTGGAACGAACTTGATCAATCAGAAATCTCAGTCACTAGAGAAATCATAAAAGGATCTGGTATGTAGAAGGAGAATCTGTCAGAGTATGAAGGGGTCACCATCTGCACCCTCTCTGCCCCATACACACATACACATGAAGGGGTCACCATCTGCACCCTTTCTGACACACACACACACAAACACACACACACACACACTAGGCAGTTACTCCAGGTTCTCATGAGGAGGGAAGTGACTCTTGGGAACTGGGGGATGAGAAGCACCTGGCAGGATGGGAGGAGGACCCATCAGTGACCTGTGACACCTGCTGCAGGATTGACGGAGGAAGATGAGATCTGGGGCTGAGCGGTGGACGAAACAAAGCCCATAGTTTGTGCGACAGGTGAATTGATCTAGGGCAGGGAGGATGACTCTTGGCGGGTGTTGGGGAGCAGCTTTTCTGTCACAGGACAATTCCAGAGAAGAAATAGACCTCCATTCCACCAGCTCCCAGGAAGGCTTCTGCCCCACCAACTCTGTAATGCTTATGGAAGTGGCACCCTTGCTGTGGAATTCCATCAGAAATTAGACAGGCTCTCTCCTTACCGATCTTTAGAAGAATTAATAAAGATATAATTATTAGGGAGGCCTTTGGCAACATGCTAGGTAACTTCTGAGACCTACACACTATAGTCACTATTGATTATTTTTCTTATACTACTGCATATTTTGTTTATTATATTTTGGTTCATGTTAACATGACATGATTTAAGTTACCAGGTATCAATCTTGGATTGCCTTTTCTGTTTAAGTCTGTGGTATGTTGCATTTTCATCTTTAACTATTTTAGTTGTTATATGTTTTGCCTACTTTTGTAAACCACCCCAAGTAGTATTCTCAGTAAGTGGGGTGGTCTATAAACTTAATAAATAAATGTTGGCACTAGCATCATAATCTGCTCCTGGGTCTTGTTTTGGCAGAAAGAATACAGCTTCTCCATCTCCGACTTCCAATTACTCCAATTACTTGCTTGGTTTCTATATTGGGCATCTCTTAATGTCCATACGTACAGTTGTGCATTTGGTTACTTGAAGCACGGACTTGCAAAAAACATGTTGTTGTCTTCACAGAACATCGTGAATCGTTCTCCTGCTTCTTTTTGCCTCTTCCTGAAGAGATTTTCCCTACCCCAAAGCAAGTAGGATTCTTCCCTCCACCCACCAGGCCTCATCCCGGTGGAATCAGTGGACCGATGGATGGGTGTGTGTTTTCAAACACCAAAGAGCTCTGTGGCATCTTAAACGTCACCTTGTGTTTTGAGGGGCCTGCTCTAGCCACGGTGATGTATGTCCTTGTTACATCTCAGCTGGATGACTGCAACGTGTTCTGTGTGGGGCTGCCTTTGGGAAGTCTTCAGAAACTCCAGTGGGTCCAAAATGCTGCAGCCACCTTGCTAACTGGAGCTGGTGAAAGGGAACATACAACTCCCCTGTTGCAGCAACTCCATTGGTTGCCAGTCTGTCTCCATGCACAAATCAAGGGGCTGGTTTTAAGCTATAAAGACCTAAACAGCTTGGGTCCAAGCTAATCTAAAAGGCAGCATCTCCCTCTCTCAGCCTACCCAAGGCATGAAGATCATCGGAGTTGGAGGGGACGTTTCCTCTTGGTCCAGCCACCCCCACAAGCGCAATTGGTGAGGACACAGTGCAGTAAAATTTAGAGAAAACTGACAGAACTTAAAATCTCTATATAGACGTATCTATGCTCATGGAGAAATAAGAATTAGAACTGCATAGTCAGCCAAAACAAAGGTAATTCTAGGAGCCTCATCATTCAGTCTCAAAAACTATGGTAACATACTCTGAATACAGGTCTTGGAACATCATCTAGTGTGGCAGAGAAAGCCAATTTGAGAGTGACAATCCCTTCCATACTGAAGACAAATACAATCTGTTCCCTCTCCACCTCCCTGATTGGCTGCTTCCGGACTGCCTCTTTGACTCGGCCTGCTGAACAAGTGCCTCCAGAATGGGAGAGGCCATGATGCACCGCCTGCTTACAGGCTGAATGCTCACATGTCAAGGTTTCCAATCTGTTCAGGTCCACTCCTAAGGCCTTCAGATCCCACTTGCAGATATCCTTGTATCGCAACTGTGGTCTCCCTCCGGGATGATTTCCCTGCACTAATTCTCCATACAGGAGATCTTTTGGAATCCGCCCATCAGACATTGTCATGACATGCCCAAGCCAACATAGATGTCGCTGTTTCAGTAATGCATTGTTTCGTTTAGTTGTGTCCGACTCTTCGTGACCCCATGGACCAGAGCACGCCAAGCCCTCCTATCTTCCACTGCCTCCTGGAGTTGTGTCAAATTCATGTTGGTTGCTTCGCAGACACTGTCCAGCCATCTCATCCTCTGTCGTCCCCTTCTCTTGCCATCACACTTTCCTAACATCAAGGTCTTTTCCAAGGAGTCTTCTCTTCTCATGAGATGGCCAAAGTACTGGAGCCTCAGCTTCAGGATCTGTCCTTCCAGTGAGCACTCAGGCTTGATTTCCTTTAGAATTGAT